TTATAAACAGCAAGCCCAGCCTGGTTGGATCCAGGCTTGGTTAATTGATGATAAAATATCCCTCCTAATCAGAAGGGCTCCCTCTCTGCTTGTGTGTAGCTAAGGAGCCCCAGATGTGCCTATTGCATTCAATTGTGCGGAAAGCCATTTAAAGTGCATTCCCAGCAAGGAGGACTTTTCTTATTGACATGAAGGCAGCAATCAATAGCCCTGGGCCATTCTCTTCCACTGTTAAAAAAACAAAAACAAAATAAAACCACTCTTCCACTAGCTCTGAAGGGCTTGTCTCCTATAGATGTAGACATTTTCCCCCACCAAAGGGTCAGTCATTTTCCCTCTCCCTTAGCTCTTCCCCAGCCAGGAGGAGGGAGCCCTGAGGAATGGGTGCAGATTGCCTTGGCTTGTGCTAGTTTCCCACGTGCACCCAGAGAAAAGGGTTCAGCTTCTCTCTGTGTCCTTCATTAAAATTCCCTCGGCTCCTCTCAGCTTGCCTCCCTCCCCCTCCCTCATCTAAATATCCAAGGAGAAAACCAGAGCTCCTCATTGAACTCTTTTGGAGAGGGGGGATTCCTCCTGCAAGAAGGCTAACCTTGGCTCCTTGAGTCTTTCAGTTCTCCGCTGAAACCTCTGGATGAAGAATGCCCTCAGAGACTCTCCCTCTGCCTGAAGAAGGGTGTTTGTGCCGAAAGCTTGCAAAGAACAATATTTCCAACTATTTAAACGGCCTAATAAAAGAGATCACATCTACCTATGTGACCAACACCCCTGAAAGGCTCTCCTGAGTTTGGAGGAGGGGGTGCAGTGTTGTTGTGTGTCCTTTCTAACTTTTCCAGTGTCACGTGCTCTTCCAGACAAAGTTCTTTGGGTAAATTTGATATTTGAGTTGGTCTAATAAAAGATACCAGATTTACCCAAATATCCTTGTCTGCCTATGTCCTTAGACCAACACGGCTACAACCCATACCCCTGTCACATGCTCTTCCATTAATTTTATACCCCTCAGTAAAGAAGCTTCATGTGTCTTGATTCTTCAAATACGTTTTTCCCCCTCTCTGCCCTGCCAGGATAGTGATGTGTTTTCTAGCAATGTGCACAGGAGCTTTGCTTCGCCTTTCAGAGGTCATTGACATGGGTTTTGATTAGTCTAATAGATTTGAGTAACACTAGTTTGTACGTCGTTCCCCCTCCCCCCCCCCCCCCCCGAGGGTATACCTATGACCCAGACAGTAGATATAAAACTTCTAGTTCCTTGCCTGTGTGAACAATACGATTTGGATGCACACACTGCTGAAGGGGTTTACTCTCTGAGCCTTTTAAAGGAATAGAAATGGCCTCATTTGCAAATCGGGGAGAGAGTGACAGTTGCAATCTGTTTTTATATCGTGCAACCCACCCAACACTTTGCCCCACGTTAAAGAGAGGACCAAACTGCTTCTGCAGCCGGGATGTTAGTAGCCAGAGCTCTCTGGGCTAGGATCTCTGTTGAAATGCCTTCCTATAGCTCTCCTCTTGGATTCATTCTGTCATTCCAGATGTGGATGAATGTGCAGAGGGGACAGACGACTGCCACATTGATGCCATTTGTCAGAACACACTGAAAGCCTACAAATGTATCTGTAAACCGGGTTACAAAGGCGAGGGGAAACAATGTGAAGGTAAGGAGAACCCCCTGCTGCTCCTGCCTTCCCTGGGTGTGTTTGCTCTCTCAAACCTTCTGCAAATAACTGGATTCCTAAAATGATGAATGCAGAGTTACAGCTGCTTAACCTCAAGTCTTGGTGTTTATTGGCAAGCATCCCCTGCTGCTTTTGCTACTTGTTCTGCATCAAAAACATAGTGTCCTGCAGTTTGCTTTAAAACTGAAATTGGGGGGGGGGGTCACGCACACACTTCTGAAGGCACTGAGTTACTTGATCATAACCTTGGTGGAGAGAGAGCTGAGTGAGGCTGGAGGGTCCTTGCAGTTCTGCTGGGTAAGAGGCAGTGACCTTGAACTGCAGAGAGGGTTACTTGGGGAAAAGAGATCCCGGAAAAGATTCTCCTCAGTTCTCACATCAGTTGCCAATGCATTAACATTCCCCACACATTAGGGCAAGTCTTAACAGAAGAACTGCCAGGCTGCATGGAGCCAGTGGTCCATGTCCTTCCCTATCTCATTGCCACCAAAAGCCAGTGCAAAATGAGAAAGGAAGGTGCAAAGAACTGTAGGCAGTGAAGGGACAACCTGTCCCATCCCACCAGCCAATGTTTCCTACTACCTAGAGGTAGAGATGAAGGCTTCTCTAACTTCCAAAGCTGTCATAACTCTGCCTAGTCCTGTTCTCTGTATAGATGTTCAGCACTTTTATTTAATCACCTTGAGCTTCTGAAATCATTGGTACCTTATGGCAATGAGTTCTCCACAGTAATTGTGCATCATGCATTGAATTTACCACCTTTTTTTTTTTTTCTTCAAAGTTCCTTGTTCTTGCGGCAGTGTTAAGCAATTAACACTCTCCCTCTCTGAATTGTGATTAAAGAGTTCAGCTAGGACTTTATCCAGTTCTGCCCCTATGATTGAATTTGCCATCCTGATATGGTCAAGAATATAAATAACTTGAGTTTCTGGGCTCCCTGGGATCTGTGGGAGCTCTACTATTTACTTACATAGGAGAAAAACCATGCCTGAGCAAAAGACATTTGGGTTTGTGTGCATGTGTGGGGAGGGGAACTTTTAAAGTGATATGTAGATCTTTGCCTCTGGGTCTGTGGAACACCCCCATCCTTGAAATGTAGACAACAAATAAAATTAAATTGGTCTTTTGAAAACTGTCTCCTTATTTTGGAAGACCCCGATATACCACTGAGATGATTGTACTTATGCTGATGTTAAACATTGGCTTTACTTTCAAGTGTCTTCAAGTCCATCCATTCTGCTGTAAAAGGTCTGGTACATTTTTGAAAGGAACTTCAGTTTTTATTAACTTCAGCGAAAAGTTCAGATTCTGATTACAAAAATGGGTATTGTAATCACTGCAACATGCCTTGTAAATAAAGGACGAAGAATTTTTTTCCCCTGCTTGTAGTTATGTAAATTCACCTCCAAATCTGGGTTCCTTTCATACCCCTTTTACAGTCTGAAGCTTTTTCAAAATGTATACAGTAAGTCCATTAAAAAGATTAAACACCTAGAAATGACTTTGCTGAAGTCCACAAAAATTTGAAACCACATATTTATTCTCCACGGGCTTCCAAAGTGTTTGTTCAAGTGTCATATTTTTCTATCTCGAGCTTATATTGACAGAAATAAATTCCTACTGTCCACCTCTTGGTGTTCTAGTGTCTCTGAACAGCTATTTGCTGGAAGCCAGATTTTCTTTCTTGCAAAGAGAGAAAATATTCATCCAGCACTACTTCTGTTCCCCATTTTATCCCTTCCAAGGAATGGGTCCTATATGTTGAGAAGATGTACTTGCAGCCATGGCTATAGAAGGTGTAATGTTCTCAGCACTGATCCTTCCTGTTGTACTGGCTTTCCACATCAAAAGTTTCCCAAAGCCTTAACTACTCATATTTTAGATGTTGATCCCTGTTTAATGGTAGCCCTGGCTGGTATCCATGCTTATTTAATACATATATTTCTCTTTGCCTGGCTCAGCTTGGCTCAGTAAAAAAAGAGTGCTCTGTGAGTAGTAAAGTACAAGCTTCCTTGCAGAATTATGTACAAAATGGAATTTTTGCAGCTAATTTTGAACTCATGTTTGGTATTTAGTATCTGACAAGTTTGATAAGTAAAACAGGACAGACTCAGACAGGTTCTGCATGGATCCTAAATTGCTGGTTAATTAATGGAAATGAACATAGGTTCTCCAAAATGTAATACCGGGGATTATGTGCTGTATATAATGTATAATCTTTCTACTTGCATTGCATTGACAGTTCTAGGAGTGTAGCATCAGTTTTTTGTCTTAAGTTCATAATAGCAAACTTATTTGAGGAAAGGAAAGAATCTGAAATAATGTAGATGTTCCCTACCTTGAACTGTGCTGAATTTACCAACTTTATGCCTAGATGCTAATTTTATAGTACTCCTATAGCACTTCTTAATTTAATGATCTTAAAGTACTCTACAGCCATTCATTTGATGACATTGCAATGAGGTAGATGACCATCGTTATGTTGTTTTTATAGATGGATAAACTTGGGTACAGGGATATTAAGCTAAAAGGTCATATAGCAGCTCAGTGGCAGAGCTAAAATCTATCTCCCAGTCTGCCATTCAGCAAGAGTTGATTAATTTTGTATCTTGAGGTCAAGCTTACAAAAACCACAGAGATAAACAGAGCAGCAGTATTGTTTGCCATTATTACTTTATTACAAGACAAATACAGTTAGTAGTTAACCTCTTGAAAGCTATGTTATGAGGCAGTCAGTTATGCCAGGGGTAACAAAGATAATTCTCTTCCGAATGAAATATGCCAAATAATACCTACAGTGTCAAAGCCAGAATTGGAATAATGCATTATTCTTATTCTATTGCTGACTTTTTCCAAATGTTTTTTTGATCAACTGGAAGTTGATACCTATGAAAGCAGCATGGCATTGTCAGTTAATGTCCTATGTAAATGTCCAAATGACAGTAAGAACTATCATGTGTTGCTTCATTTTTAAAGAACAAACAGTACAGTTCAACCCTCTTACTCTCGTCATCAAACCAGCTCTTACAAAATAAACATTAGTTCACTGTAATCAGCACTGCAACTTACGTGCTGCAACAAACTGAAATAAAACAAGTTTTTATACTATTTAGCTATTAAACGGTTCACTAAAATTAAAAATATACAGAAAACTTTCAGTGTACCAGGCTATGCCTTAGATTTCTGGGGGGGCATTAAATTAATGAAAATTATATTTGGGAGAAAGGGGACAAAGAATGATATCTCCTGCTGGCAGGCAGCATGTTACATGTCTATACTATTGATCATAGGGATTGTCTAGCTAGCATTTGCACTTGAAATTTGATTTATATTTTTTTTTTAATGTAAAAATGTTTATAAAGGTACATGCTTACATGAGTAAAGATTATATAAATGAAAATTTATAATCTGGAAGTATTGTTGAGTCTTGTTTGTTTCCAAGTGACTGAACACATTTAAAAAAAAAAAAAAAAAGGGGGTGTGGGCTCTTTAAGCTAATAAGCGGTAGCAAAAGTGGAGTCCAATTGTTTGTATTGGACTCTGTGCAGAAAAGTCTTTGCAGTCTCCTAAGACCCTGCGTCTCAGACCCTCTTTTCTTTTCTCCATGTCAACATTTTCTCCCCTGAGCCCATTCTCAGGCATTCTATAGAGCACTGGTGCTCTGCCAGAGAGAAGCTTGAATAAGCAGCTTCTCTTTTCCTAGTTCAGCCAGCACCTCTCTATCCCATTTTAACTTTCCCTTTAAACAAATATCCACTTTCATGTTGTTTCAAACATGCTTTTAGGATAAGAAAGTCTTACTATAGCTTAACCACTACTAGTATTGAAAATGTGGCCTCATTCTTGCGTAGTTACTCTCCTCCTTTATAAATATATTCTTTGTGTGCGCCAGTGTGTTGTTCTTAAATGCGTAGAGCGACTATACAGTTCCATTTCTAGCATCCATTTGACACTGACAGGCAATATGCAATACAACAACAGCATTGATCACAAGGGTCCTCTAGTTAGCATCTGCATTTGAAACTGAAAGTGCTGCTCTCTCAAGTAGTCATAAAGTCTAGGCACAGACATTCAAAAAGCCCAAGCCTGAATTGATTCAATCTTTGCAGGTTAGTCTAACCTGGCTAGATTGAACCAATTTGAAAGGAAGAGACATTCCCTCTGCACTGAAGAAATGCAGGCACATGCCTGCAGTGGCTCAGACCAGGAGCCACTGGAGGCATACTACAGTGCACCCTCAGCTGCAAGGAAGCTGTGTTTGCGGGGGGCATGGCTGCCACCACTTGCCCAGCACAGTCTGCAGCAGCTCTGATCTCCCCACAGCAAAGCCCTTTCCCCACCCCCCTCCCCAACAGGAAGAGGCTCATGCTCAGGGAAACCGTGAGAGGGGGTGCTACCCCCATCACAGTTGCTTCCCCTTCACTGTTCCAGCATCAGGTGCAGGGGCACTGCCAGAGGCCAGCCGGCATGGCCCCCTTAGGCGAGGGGGCAGGGATGGGGTTATTTCCTTCTTCCCTCTGGCATCTGGTGGAGGGGGCAGGGAGGGGGCTTATTCTGCCACTTACACTGCACAGGGAATGATCAGCAGTGGTGGTCAGGGTGGGCAGACCCTGGCTGCGGTCCCCAGGGGGTAGAGAGGGGAATAAACTCCCTCCCTGCCCCCTCTGCCTTGGGGCCATGCCAGCTGCTGTCTACCTGTGCCCCCACCTCTGCTGCCTCAGCAGTGAAGGGGGAGCACCAGGTGGGCCCTAGCTCGGGTCCATGGGAATAACACCCCTCCCTGGCCAGTTCATTTCAGGCCTGCTGCCAGGGCCCCGACTCCACCATTGGAGCAGTGAGCAATGCCTGACAGGTCCATGCTCTTGGGACAGGGAAGGGATAGGGAATAAACCTCTTCCATGCCTGTTTCCCCTTAGGGGAGCTGGTGCCTGGCCACGCCCCTGTCCCTGCCTCTCCACCTCCCCTGGCGCTCTGGCTAG